ATATCTATATATAATTGTAGCTTTCAGGGTGTACATGAGGGTTTGATGAATCTTTGTTTCAGCATTTGCACTAAGCAGACCCTTTGTATGCTGCTTACTGCACCCCCCACAAGACACATATCCCAACAACCTAGTAGCAGAAAACAACACCTGAAGATTTGGGAGTTCATGCCCTAGCGTGCCTTCACATCTCCCCCAACGATGCCCGGTTGAAAGACGGGTTCCCAAAAATGCTCAAAAAACACGAGGATTCCACAGGTTTGAGGATTGGAGGAACAACAAAGCCCCGGGCTTCTTGAGGTGCTTTGCACAAAACACCTCCTTCTGCAGCGGAGCCTTCTTGGCAATTTGGTACCACTGATCGAATTTCTTGAAATCTGGCTTTTTGGCCTTTGCGACCTTTTGCATCTCCCCCAGGCTTGTCTGGTCTACAAAGGCTTCTACATTTTCAAAGCAGCACCCATCACCAAGAATGTCTTGATGACTTGCCCGTGCTTTGATGTCCTTCTCACACGTGGAAAGGCACTCCTGAGCTCTGAGCTCATCCAGTCAGCCATATATATATATATGTACATCTCTCTCTCTACATTCGCATACATATATAGCTACCGGAAAAAGGCACCCCCTCAAATTACATATAGAGGTGGCCTCAAATCAATACAAACTGTAAAGGGGAGCCCACCTTCAGCTGCATGCAGCAAATAGCTTGTTGAGCCAAGATTCATGCATGCGTTCAGGGAGTTCTGGGTCTTCACCAAAACGGGCAGCCTCTATGTAGTGGAAAGCTCTCTCTTGGTACCCCAGTCCTGTGAACATACTGCTACAGCCGATCGGATTGGTGGTCCACAGCAGCACATTGGTATCCCGTAAATTCTTGTCTTTAATGAGGAACCGCAACGCCTCCTTGGCCCACCGCTGACCCTTTAGAAGCGGCACGGACACCTCCGACATAGCTGGAAGTGGAAAGTGAACTCAGTCTGAATGGGTCGCGTGACCCGCTCTTGTCAACCTAAGTACATACAATAGATACAGCATTATGATATATATAGTTATAGAATCTAGAGAGTGTGACAATGTCTAATCATTCAACTTGTTCAAGCCTCTTGGCTCGCCCCAGTCGAGCTGTCAGCTGCAAACAAGACGCATCGGTGGTCTCCGACTGTCACCCGACCCTTTTTCACCAACAAAAAGCAGATGCAGTAAGCAGACCTCAAAAGTACATCTGCTTACAGGGGGGTGTTTTTGGGTATAGAGCAAACATCTATGGTAAGCGATGATCAAAAACCAAAATTTAGGCCCCTTTGCCGGGTGCAGTAAGCAGTAAAGTTACTGCCTACTGACCGGCACTGACTATAAAACCCGTCAAAACCTGCAAACAGGAACTGAGAAACTGCTTGGTCGTTGGCACTGCGGGGAGGATTCCCCTCATCTCTGGCGACGTTTCAGTGGAGCAGCTTTGCCTAGTGCTCTCATGGAAGGGAGCGAAGGAGTCAAACAACACACACAGATTGACATTGGTTTTCAGTTAGCTCAATTCCCAGGTCGAAAATGGTGAGGGAACAGCAAGGCGAAAAGGTCGGCGAGAACTGTATGGTTGAACAATGTTTGCAATCGGACACACAAGCGCGGCTGCAAAGCGGTGGGAAAAAAAGGTTTGGGGGACGTATCATGAACCACCATGGAATCAAAAAAGAAGGATTGGAACAGCATACTCAACCGTTGAAGCAGGTACAGGTGGATGATCAGTCCACCCCTCCCTCGTCATACCGTAGCTTCATTGCGTACGGTGGGCATGACGAGCCGTACGCCCCTGCTTTGAAAACATGGAAGCCCTTGGGGACAGGGTTTGACACACACACGGTGCCGCTTTGCGGCGCTCCTGCGAACGACCTGAATAGGTACCTAAAAAGCTTTAGAAACAAAAGAAAGAAACACAGAAAGAGCAGCGCTAAGAGGGCAAGAGAGAAAGGTAGGAGTAGAAAAAGGTGAATACTTAACCCTTGACTGGGGTAGGGAAACGAGCCTCAAGAGCAACCTAAAAAGCCTGAGAGAAAGCCCAACAAACGACGAAAAGCGCAAGAAGGAAAGTGGGGGGGCAGGGAGGGGGTGTATGTCCATGTGTGTGTACATGTGTGTGTCTGAATACTTAGCACTCTAGAGTTACTGATTACTTAGCAGAAATGAATTAAGTGCAATAGTTAGGGAGCGGGACTTTAGTCTTAAACCGCCCGGGTAGAGAAGACTAGAAAAGGGACAACAGAGGGAAAGGCACCGACACACAAGTGTGCCGAGTACCATTTCCCTCTGTTACCCTAATTAGGTGGGGAGTAGAACTCGGCGGGGGGGTGGGTTGGGAAAATATGCCTGGCCTCGGGTGGAAGTGAATTCCGTTTTTTAGCCCGGCGGCTGTGGTAGCATGTCGTGAAAGCCCGACGGCTTTTAAGGCAGTTAATCCAGTGGTGAGACGAAGGCTGTCACGAAAATCCAATGAGTGGTGGGCAGAATAAGTCGGTTACACGATTTCCTGCATGGCTTCGGCGCCCCTGTCACGGGGATCACACCCAGCACCCAAGTGGGACGGCTGAGCGGTTCACACTTTGACATTGGTTTTCAGTTAGCTCAATTCCCAGGTCGAAAATGGTGAGGGAACGGCAAGGCGAAAAGGTCGGCGAGAACTGTATGGTTGAACAATGTTTGCAATCGGACACACAAGCGCGGCTGCAAAGCGGTGGGAAAAAAGGTTTGGGGGACGTATCATGAACCACCATGGAATCAAAAAAGAAGGATTGGAACAGCGTACTCAACCGTTGAAGCAGGTACAGGTGGATGATCAGTCCACCCCTCCCTCGTCATACCGTAGCTTCATTGCGTACGGTGGGCATGACGAGCCGTACGCCCCTGCTTTGAAAACATGGAAAGCCCTTGGGGACAGGGTTTGACACACACACACACACACACTGGGACGCGCGTGCCAAATGACATGATTCCTATTAAGCATCAAGCAGGACCCCCACGCCTACCGGAACCTCTAGACTCCTCCGGAGGATGCACCACGAACCAACATGATGTCTTTCGAAAATCACGGAACCAGGTGTCAGATGCTAGGTCCTAGGTAGTCACAACATCAAGCAAAACCTACAATGATCAAACCAAAGGTCCAGGTTCTGCAGGTTCGTTTTGTTTTCAGTTGGTGAATGCCGCTGTGTCGCTCCAGATCTTCCCGCTTCAGGTTACCCATGAAGCGTTGGGCCGTGCAGCACGGAATCTCAGTCTCTCAGCCCCCGAGCCACCGAGAGGGCGGGTCGGGTCGGGTTGGGGTGGGGAGAGAAATGGAGAGCCATGGTTGGTGCATGTTGGTGCAACGTTTGTGCAGGTCAGTTGAGGCAGAGAAATGTATAGGAATGTATCGAAATATATTCTATAGCCTACAGTCAATGAGTAATTGTACATTTGCAAGACGCGCGCTAACAATGCAAGGCTGACGACCATGATGATGGTGATGGTATATAGTACGTTTGATGCAACTTGATTTGGTTTGCATCGGCAGGTTTGCGCATTGACTTTGTTTGTCCATGTCCATTGAAAGTGACAAGGCATTCAGATGCATTCGTGCATCTGAATGCAAGATTTTGAGATTGGAGGGTGTTTCACACAGTTCTTTTTGCTAGCATCAAGGCCAAGTGGGATGATCCAGACGACAGATCTCGTTGTTTGTTGCTTCCGCGGGCGAAGTTGTGACCATTCTCGAGCACGGGGTGCGGTGCTCCCTTGTTGGAGGCCCTTGCCACCTGCCTTGTCGTGTCCTGCCAGGCACGACCCAGAGCTTTGGCCAACGATTTGCCCAGCGAAATGATTCGAATGTGGCGATTTTTGGAAGGCCGACAGCCTGGACTTTGGCCTGCGAAGCAGGTGAGGTCGTTTGGTCGGTCTTACGCTAGGCTGCTAGGCCCTCGGCCCTCAGTCAGGAGAAAGAAGAGGAACAATAGTTCTTGGACTTGGGTGGAAATAAGGTACATCATATAATCATATAGAACATGATCTATATAAATATACAATATATACATATATAATATATATATATATAAATGATGACATCATGTTCATGGACTTTTTGTTGCTTCAATGTTCTTTGGTTCTCAAACTGAGGGGTCAGTGATTCAGCCACCCATCAGGCCATTGGATGAGACTGATGTTGTGGGCTCATCGCTTCTAGAAACTATAGTACCCCCTACTGCAGCAGCGCTTACCGAATGGCAAGCCAGACTGCAGCCGGGGGAGTTCGGCCCTAGAAGTTGTCCAAAGACTGTTTGGGGGACCACCGAAGTGAAGTCACCGAAGTAAAGACAATTTTAAGAATAGTCTTGGGCTGCCAGGCCTGGTATAGGTTGGATTTTTGCAGTCCATGAAACCATGGATGGCCAAATCTGAGGTAGAGCCGGTCAGTCGTGAGATCGCGCAAGTTATAGTGAAACAAGGCATCATAGTGTCATAGTCACGAAAGCTAGCACCAGCTAGCTCGAGTTGTCCTTGCTTTAGCAAGTGAGGGGCTGGAATCCTCCAGATCGCCGCATCACGTGAAAACTTCATATGTAGGGGGGCCCCCCCGCTCCCCCCCCCGGGTGGGTTCAACTCCCCCCTGGGACACCTCTCGGGCACCGCTTATGGCATCCACTTTCGTTTAACTCCTCCGGGATGCGGTGCAACAGATTCAACAAGCTCACAGGTTCATGACATCGACATTGATAGAAGAAACCAAGTAAATCATGCAAGCAGCTTTGTTTTGCCTCTGGGACACCTCTTGGGCACCTCTTATGGCATCCACTTTGGTTCAACTCCTCCGTGGAGGCTTTGGGATACGGTGCAACAGATTCAACAAGCTCACAGGTTCGTAAACACATCGGATGCATCGAATAGTGTGGCAAAGTCCAGCCACGCTTCCTTAATTATCGGGGACTTCAATTCTAAGGTTGGCTGTGTCATTGCTGTTTGTGTGTCTTACATGTTCACAACGTTTTACCTCATGAGCATTTGCCTCAATCCGTTTGATGTCCCACCAGTCCGGATGCACCCCTGCTAGCTTTCGTCACCTACCCTCGGCCTCAAGTATGCATCATCGGCTAAAGGCAAGACATTGACACCGGGCCCCAATTCCATTGGATTTGGATCCAAAGGCTTTTTCGGAGGTTCAAGTACTCCCAGAGGGTGGCTTTGGGTGAGCCAGAGGACATGATGCTCCTGCACTGCATGTGTCGAACTTTCGGTTTTAGGTGGGTTGAAGACTGACTTTCCTGATCTTTCCTGCAACCTGTGTTTTGTAACCCACTTTACAGATAATTGCGGTGAACTCCTTGGCACTTAGACGGTTCGGTTGGATGCTCAAGGAGGACATCTTCATTCTTCACCACTCTGAAATGTTGGGAACATTTCACCCCCAAATGAAGAATTAAGGCCGAGTGCCGCGAGTAGGTGCCTCAATCCCGGTGCCTATTTCACCACTACGTCTTCATTCTTCACGCCCAAAGCCAGACCTTCAAGTCTTCGCACCTTCACCTCTTGCGCCGTTCGCCGTTCACTCGCGCGCCACCTGGAAACGGGGCTCGCAGCTCCTGCTTCGCGGGTCCTGCCGCGATGGAGGGCCAGGGCCATCGGGATCTCTTTTGGGAACTGCACCGACGTCTCGGCGAGTGCTACGAAGCGGATGTGAGGAGAAGACGGTGACTGGAGAAGACGGGTCGGGCCAGGTCGGGACGGGTGGTGGCACGCAGAGCACGGGGTTCCAAAATTGGCGGGTGGAGAGGTTCGAGCGAGTGGAGAGCGTGGTTTGGGGGTTCTCTTGGATGGGCGACCAGAGATGGGAGATGCGTGGAGATATAGGGTGTGTCCCACGAACGCATGACCAGGACGTAGTTTAAAGTTAAAAGAGGATCCACTAGCAGGTCATGCTGGTTGTTATAACCATCATCACCCACTGTCATGAGCTCAGAATCAGAAAGATTCACTTGGTTTTGCAGATCGGGTACTTTTCTTTGATCCACCCCAATGTATACAGGCATATATATGGCAGTCCCGGCTGGAGTGTTTGGGTGTTAGTCTGCCGAGACTGTAACACTCCCAGAGACTGGTCACAAAAAGCCTTTTTGGTTGATCCCTTCACTGGGTGAAGATGTCCAACCAAAGAGGTTGAAAGACCCTATAGGCTATCCCATAGGGACCCCTGTAGTGTCCTATAAGATCTATAAGGTCACTTAACCTCTGTTGGAATGCCCAAGATCAGCGCACCCAGCTCCACAGGAGAGGGAAGCCGCTGCTGGGGCACTCGCTGCCGCCCTCCCCGAGGCTCAGCAAACCCCGCTTGGCACGGAGCAATGATGGCAGCAGCTGGGAGCGCAAACCGGTGAGCGCCATGGGAGGGAGATGAAACAACTGGGGCATAGCATAGCATACCCAAACACTCCATGTATGCCATATATGCCTACATTGACCCCTCAAACCACCCCAATGTAGGTATATATGGCATACATGAAGTGTCTGGGATAGTTCATAGCATTTCATAGCCCCAGAGCTGCCATAGGCTTCACAGAATGAGACGGTGGATCGGTGAGACCACCTTGGAAGCTCTCCACCGAAGTGCCATCGGTTTCTTGATCCGTTGTGAGACTGGTGAGACCCGACGAGGATGGCTGGCTACATTGGATGGCTGGAAGGATGATATCATATGACATATATATATATATATTGCGGAAAACCACCCTTCTCCTGAAGGTCGCGCGGGCTCCTTTTT